TGTATCACCAGTTTCATGTTCCTGATGAAACTCACATTACCTCCTTCACAGAACAGAATCATATCATCAGCAAACTATAAGTGAGTGAGAGAGGTTTCCTCCCTTCCAACTCTCCAACCTCTAATGAGACCCCTCGAGTTTGTTCTGTGAATCAATTTCCCCAGAATGGCTGGAAAGAAATCTGCCACTGTCCCATTCACTAGCACTGAATAATGACAATTCCGAACACAACCCATGATCCATTTGCACCATCTAGCCCCAAACCCAAATTTGGTAGTCCACCAAGTCATAAGCCATTTCCAGATCCAACTTACAGACCACTCCCTTCTTTTTATCCTTGCATTGTGTGCATTGTGTACTCAGATGCTCAAGGTGGTTGCTAACACTTATGGGAGATTTAGGAAATACGATCATTGTAATGGTGTGTGGGATCATCTCCGTTTGGTGAGGATTTTTATGGAGGCTGAAATTTGTGGCTTAACTTGCTTTTCACTTTATTATTGTGGAGGGGGAAGGCCCAACCTTTTTTCTTGATACTGATAGCTAGTTTCAGGGAAAGAAAGAGAAGGTAGGGAATGGAGATGGTTGTGAAGGTTGGGAAGGAGGATTGATAAAAAAATGTAATTGTGACGAAGGAAAAGATATGTTTGGAGGCGGATTCAAGTGCCAAAGGAGAGAAAAGTAGAGTTGGTCTTACAAACTTGGGGGCCTTGAGTTGAAATAGGTCGAGATCCTCATGGTGGACAGATGTGCTGATGTGATCAGATTATCAAAATAGGATGATTGGGTCAAATAATCTGATTGTTTGATTCATGTTTTGGTTCGAGGGAGAAAGTTTGGGTTTGCATGGTATATCACTAGATACATCTATAGAGGCAGAGATGTAGAAAGGAAGGTGAAAGGATTGTGAAAATAGAGAAGGAAGCGAAATACCAGAGAAGGTAGAGGGCAGGAAATAAAATTTGAAGTTCTGATGGTGCAGGAAAGGATCGAGGAAATTGAAGGGTTCATAGATCGTCAGAACTCCAGTGTGCTTCCTAGAAATTTCACTATAAACAAGGAAAGCCGAGTATTATTGAATCTTCAATCGTGGTGCTTTAGGAAGAAAGAGCATCAAAGGGAACTGCATTGCATCAGGAGAGGGAAAAAGTAGCTGGAGGGTGGAAAGCAATTGGAGGTGGAGCTTCAGGCTTTTGGAGGTAATTGGGGAGAAGAGGTTCTAAAGGGAGAAGGGAAAGAAATTGTAGGTGAACTTTCTCCCACCATATTGGGTGTTGGTGAATTAGTAGCAAGAGCAAGTTTAGTGGAGGGTGGGGAGCAGGTAGAAATTTTCTTTGGGTCTTCAAAAGTAAATAGGGAGGAAGATGGGCAAGAGGGAGTCAATTTAAATGACTTTGGATTTACCCATGATGATTCCATACATAATGGAATGTCTGATGGTGGCTCAGATGGGTTGGAGATGAGCAGTTCAGAAAACTATGTTGAAGTGTTTATTGGAAAGTTGGGTAAGGATTTAGGCAGAAAGAGTTTAGGTAACTGCAAAGGTATAGATCTCAGAGAGTCTAGGAGAAAAACAAAGATCTTGCCTTTCCAAGAAACAAAAAGGAGTGAGGAATTTTCATTTGGTTCTTGTAACCTGTAGAGGAGATGGGCCGAATGKCCCATAGACTGTCATTTCATGTTATGTTATGTTTCTCTTTGTTATGGGCCTTATTCTGGGCCCATACTCTGTAATGTTCTGTTTTTTGTATTTTTCTGCCCACTCAAGGGCCTCTYTRYAATTTATCAAAGATTAACACCTTAATAAAATGTTTAGAGTGTTAGAGTGAGGTTAAGTTTGAGACTCTCACTCTCTAACACTCATTTCCGCCAGCTCTCTCTCTTCCCTTCCTTTTTTGTTTGTTTAGTTTCTGTTTTGCATCTAATCTCAAATAGTTCCATGCATCAAGTGAACTGTTTTCAACTTAACCAAAGTGTTATCTCACTTGAGAGATGGTCTTTATAGGGTGGGCCCATCTAATAAGTTCAAAGAAGGTTTATAAGATAAAGGTTGGGAAGATCAATACTCAAATTTTTAAGGATGTAGAGAAATACTTGAAATCTATCCAGGAGTGACAACAATTGGATAAGGAGTCATTGGGAGCAAGTATAGAAGTGTTTGTGGGTGATACCAAGGAGGACAATGGAGAAGAGTTAGAGAGATTGAAGATAATGAGGAAGAGGCTGAGAAGTCTCAAGAAACCGTTCAACCTAAAAGCTTAAGCTGTTAGGTGAGGTCCCTGAACAGGTTTTTGTTCTCTAACATGCACCCTCACAAGAAAGCTCATTTGGCTTGAAGCGTGGACAAGCGCAGAACCGCTCATACCTTGTGCTGAATTTTAATTCATTATAACGGGGGCGACAAGGATTGAACACTAGACCACTTTGGTCAAATAGGCTCTGATACCACCTAAAAACTTAATCTATTAGGTGATGCCCTTGAATAGGCTTTTATTCTCTTACAGGAAGCAAGAGGAGGTTGAGATGAACTTTAACCATTTAGATAGAAAAAAAATTAAAAAAGAAGTTGGTTTTGGAAAAAGGTAGTTGAGAAGGAAGTTCAAGTAAAATGTTGGGACTCTTTTTCTTTAGAGGTGAAGAGTTCCAAGTAAAGCATTTTTCTGGAGTTGGAGAAAAGGGGCGAGCTGTTGCTGATAATTCGCTTGGTGAATCTGATGATGTCTTGGAAGAGGAGTAAAAGTTAAGAGTTGCTGAAATTGATATTTTTTAGGATATTAGAATTGAAGGGAGTAGTTGTTGTGAGTATAATGTTGCTTGTTGAGGGTTTTTCTTGTCTTTGATGTTGGAAGGTTCTTTTTTGATTTTTAAGGCTGATAAGATATTGAGAGTTTGTAAGCAAGGTTGGTTTAGTTTGTTGATATTTTGCCATTTTGTTTGATCTCCTCTTGGATGATTTCTTATTACCTTCCTCATTCCTTATTTTTTCTTATTACCTTCCTCGTTCCAATTGATTGCAATCCACTTGCATGGCATGCCTTTAACTATTATATTTAATCATGGTATGAAGTTTGAGTTATTTCTGGGACACTTCAGAATCTTTTTACCATCAAGTTGACATTCTCTCTTCTTTATTTTTTTTCCCGTCCTTAACTTATGACTAGATTGATGTGGTTAATAGGAGTCTTGGAAACTTATTGTGCTATTAGTCGGTGATCATATCTCTAGATGGAAATGTTATCTTTCCTATGGCTGAATTTGCATACAATAGTTAAGTCAACAGATCCATATGGCTAAGTCCTTTTGAGATGGTGATTAGCATAGATGCTGCCATCAAGATGGTCTTTTAATCAACCTAAGAGTATTCTAGATGTTTTGATCTTTTTGAGTAATTTTCAATTTTAGGGGTAATATGTTAATTTTTCTTATTGTCAGTGTGATCTTGTGATAGTTATGTTATTTGTGTCTTATTTAAGTTGTCTTTAAATTTTTATAGTCATCTATTATATATATATTAAAGGAAGGTTGTCAGGCAACAGCCCCCCACCATTCAGACATGTGGCAACCTTAATTTTCTGGAAAAAGCATATGAGAAGTGGGTTGTTCAATTTTTTAAAGAGAAAACCAACCCCTCTGACATGTGGCACGGTATAATAGGTGTCACACATTCAATAACAGTTCTTTACAAATATGTGATAAGTGGAAACTCTCATTCTCAATCCATTCCTAAAAAAATGCAGAAAATGCAAAAGTGGTTATCCACAACCACTTCTACCTACATTTTCAATCAATCTCAGTTAATCATAATTATTATCATAATAATTATAATAATTAAAAAATGTAATTATAATAATTATTATGATAATAAAATCATTACTTAAATACTTAATAATAACAACAATAATTAATTAACTAAATATTACAATACAAGTAATATTTAAAAAAATAAAGAAATAATAATAAAAAATTAGACTTTTTTGCTTAAACAAAATAAAAATTATCAAAAAAATACTAGCCCCGTACTTAGTACAGGGTCATTCTCAAGTAGAATAAGTAAAATAGGAATTATGATGTTTTCTTTAGGTTAAATCTTGCTAGTGGCAATTCTGTAATGTTGATTGAACAGTAACGTCAGACTAGAACCTAAATTAAACCTCACCGTTTCATCTTAAACACTCTAAACTCTTTATAAAACCCTTCACCATCCATAATCCATTAATCACCAATTAAATTCCTTAATTTTTTCAAAAATCAGCAAGATATCCAACTAGATTTTCACTTTAATTCTCACTTTTTAGCGCAACACCCTATTCAATCCAACATTACTTTGTTATTAATTTGATGCAAGGGGGTTGGGGTTTCCATGGTGGCAGACTTTTCAAAGTTCCAGTTGTGGTAACTGAATCAATTTTGTAGTTATAGTTTTCAGGTCTTAAAGTAAATTTGGTGGTGAAAAAATAGGATTAAGGTTTGAGATGATTACTTTAATCAGAATTCAATTAAAAGTTGTAAATTGAATTATTGTTTAATTTAATAAGTAAATTTGAACTTATTTCAAGTAGCAAGCATCTGATTTCTTATACTAGTAATTTTGAGGTTGTCTACATCAGTAATATCTGTGAAAGTAAGATGTAAATTCATAAAACCAGACTGGCTCTGTGTTGCAAGTGAACAAAAATCATTTTCTAAAGCAACTGAAATTTTAACATTCCAGGTTCAGGAAATGCTACTAAATTATTCTGCTTACAATGAACTAAATAGACTTGTATAAAGAGTACAAACTAAGCATTGGGTCTAATTATCTAAATGTGTTACCAAACTAATTCATCAAAAAAAAAAAGTGTTACCAAACTAATATGTGGAACTTTTATGAATTCCAGTCAGACATGGAACCCATGAATCAATTTTATCTGAACCCTAGCAACTTTGTTGGCACCTATCAACCGTATAAACAAAATAGATTGTCTCCTAATTTCATTCTTTGGCCCATTTTGTTTTATCAGGCACTCACTTATTATTCCAAAATCTCATTTTTCATCCTTGGAAGAAACTCCTCCTCCTGTAAGTTTTATCATAAGAAACTATCCATTTCATGGTATTTATATATTCCTTGTTTTGAACTATCTAGCTCAATTTTTTGTCAAAATTATTTTATTCTTCCTACCCATATATGCTATTTGTGGTTATCTTGATTTTGAATATTCTTTTAGTAGGACTGGTTGATGGTTAGCATTGGATAAGAGTTCAGAAACTAAAGCAATTACACTAGTATTCTTAAATTTATATGTAGCTCTACCTGGAAGGGATAACAATATATGCATTCTCAATTCATAACTTCCTTTTCTTTCATGTTCATGCTTCATAAGTGCATTTAATGGGGAATTTTCGATAGGCATATGTTCTTTGTTGCACTTTCAAATCAAAATATTTATATATTGGTGTTTCCTTTTTCAGTGTATACACAATAAGTTTCTTCCTATTTCTGTATTCATAAATTGATGTATATCAGCAATATTATATATGTTGAGAACTCAACTTACCTGTGGAAAAAACTAGCATGTTAGAATAATCATGTCATTTATTTTGTTTTATGACATGAAATGTTAGAATGTTGTAACAACGGGAATTCAGTTATGGGAAATGGGATTGATTCCATTTCCTAAATCCATAGTTGTCAAGGTTTTGACTAGGTGACAAAATACCCCTGGTGAGACACCCAGCCTGAAAGCCATGAATCATGTTGAGGAGGTTCCAACAGCCCCTCATCTCAAATCTGCATTCTTCTGAAAATTTAAACAAGGATCTGTAGGTCTGTTGATAGGTGATACATATATTTCTTTAGTTATTGGGACTGCTGTCTTTTATTTATTTTTTTATGTTTAGATTAGTGGGCTGTTTATGTGTTTATTACTGGGTCCATGGGCCATGTTTCTTTATTATTTTATTGTTGCTGGCCTACGAAGGGTACTGATGTAATTTCATCTTATTGGATGGATATAAAAGATAAAGAGACTCTCTCAAGCCCCATGACTTGAGTCACTTCCTCCCATTCTTTTCTTCTCTCTTCTTCCTATTCCTTTTACCTCTCTTGCTTCTTCCAATCTTGTTTTCTGCATTATTTTTATCCTTTTTATTGCTGAAATTATTCAAGTTGGTATAAGATCACAATCTACAGCTTTGTAGGTGATCTTTATGCAGTCTCTAGACTATCTGACTTCAAATTAATTTATAAAGATGGTTGATCATTGGTTTCTAGTTTGGTTTTTGAAGATTTTATTGTCTTGCTGCTGCACAAGGAGTTGTCTTGGAGAATTGCCCAAAATCAGGAAAAACCAGAGTGAAGAGGGAGTAATTCTTACTTGTGATCAGAATAATCTAACAGGGATTAGTACTTGTCTTTTTCTGGACTTATTAATCATAATGGGAGATTGATTGCTGTTGGAGCAAGATCTGAAATTTTTACTGAGATCAACCACACTTTCTCTAGTTTGTCCTTCTCTTGGGTTGGGGTGAATTCTACTAGATTATTCTTGGGTTGATTTCTTTGAAGTAATTTGCATTTTCTGGGATTGTTCTTCCTAAAAATTAAGATCAATTGTATTTGGAGAGTTTTGTATTGTTTTTGGAAAGATCAATTAGAGAATCTCTCTTCTCTCTTATTCTTGGGTTGCTAGATTCTTCACTAGGAGCACCTTTGTGGTATTTTATTTTAGTCAATTGATTGGAGAAGTTTTTGTTGTTTAATTTTTATTGAAATACTTTGGAGGAGGAATGAACGTTATTGGTAGTGATTAGAAGCATAGACCGAGGGTCTAACTTACCACGAGACAAAGATAAATCATGGATAAAAGCATGACAACCAAACACTCTCATGGGAATGGAAAACAAAGGAGATTGGGGGAACAACAACTGATGAGGGGCCTTGTAGTTCAGTACTCTAGAGGGCATGCGATTGATTACATAAGCAGTAGCAAGTAGTACAATATTTATCCAAAAATGTTTTGGTACATTCATGTGTAACATCATCCCTCATGTGACCTCAAGGAGGTGTTTGTTCTTTCTTTTTACAACACCATTTTGTTGTAGTGTTCTTGCACATGAGCTCCTATGAATGGATCCATGGGAAGCAAAGAACTCGTTGAGCTCACCATGGAAATATTCCTTTGCATTATTTGATTAAAAAATTTGAATTTCAACATGAAATTGTGTAAACACCATCCTCTGGAAATCCCTCACAATCTTTGGAACTTTGTCTTTACTACACATGGGAAATACCCATGTATAGCGGGAGAAATTATCAATCAACGTGATAAAGTACTTATACTCACCCTCCGAAGTTATAGTAGTAGCCCCCCACACATCAGAATACACAATATGGAAAGGGAAACTTGGATCTTTTATTACTTGAATGAAATATTGTTTTACATTGCTTGCTCAACTGACATGTTTGACACTGGACATGACTTAAATAAATATGGAAACAAAGGCTTCATTATTTCAAAAGATATGATCTAACCGATTATGCCACAAAAAAAAATTTGACTCTTATTTGACTAACTATGTGACTCTAAGGATGACACCGAGAAACCAACCTTGTTGCTGAGAGTGTAGAGACCATCCACTAAGCTTCTTCTACCAATTGTCCTCCCAGAAGTTAGATCCTGAAAAACACATGAACTAGGAAAAAAGGTTTCACTACAGTTTAAAGAGTTTGTGATACTACTAATGGAAAGCAGATTGATGGGAAGTTGAGGGATATGCAAAACATTATTCAGGTTAAGTCCATGAGGAAGGGATATTGATCCTTGGCTTGCAATGGAGGAGAATGATCCATTTGCAAGTCTCGCCTTGTCCCTTCTTGACAAAAGGTTATAAGATTGAAAAAGGTTTGGATTATCAGTCATGTGGTTGGAGGCCCCTGAGTTAATGGTCTAGGGGGAATCAATGTAGCAAAGGATACATGGAAAGCAGAGGCTGCATTACCTGATGTAGACGCAAATGAAGTAGAAGGGGTACCAGTAATTGAACTTCCATTTGGCGCAAGGCCCTACCATATGATGCAGTCGACACCCCAGCTAGGTGTAAAGTGGGCCATGCCGGTCTGGCACGGCACGGCCCGCACTAAAAGCGGGCCGTGCTATGCTGGCCTTTGGGCCGTCACGGGCTGTGCCGCCCTCCCTGGTGGAAATTTTGGGGGTCGGCCCGACACGGCCCATGGCCTAGGCCCAGGCGGGCCCATGCTATGCCGTGCTGCAAGCTTGGGCCGGGCCGGGCTGCAGGCCGTGCCGTGGGCTTGGGCCATGCCGGGCTGGGCCACAGGGCGGGCCTTAGGCCTGGGACGAACCGGGCTGCATCGTTTTTTATTTTTTATTTTATTTTTGTTATTTTTGAAAATTTTGATTTCTTTTCGAAGTAAAATTGTAAAACTAAAATATTTAACTTTCCTTTGAACTTTGGGAATTGGGAACTATTTAAAAAATTAAGAAATGAGAAATCTAAGTTATCTAACACATAAATGGAAAAGAATACTTAACCAAATTGAAATAAGAATGATGGAATAACAAATTGGAAGAAAAATAGGAATTTTATTTCATTTAAATTTGAATGGTACAAATTACAAATACAATGATTGGATCATTGGATACTTGGATGAATGAAATATGAAAATGGAATAAATTAATAAAATATAAAAAATACAATATGGTTACAAATTGAAAGTACAAAATTACATTGTTAAAAAATTTAAAAAAATCAAATAAATTAAATAAAATTACAATAATTTGAAAAAATAAAAAATTCTATACAAGTAGTCAAATTCAAGAATCATCATTCATGACTTTCATCATCTTCTTCGGGTGAAATATCTGGTGTGGTATCATGCCCTCCCTTGTCTTGTAATCTATCTTCTGCATCTAGCCAATCCTTGAAGCAGATGCACATCTCTATGCTCTCATCGTTCATGCAGCTTCTTTTGTCATCCAGCACCCTGGTACTTGCACTAAAACAAGACTCCGATGGAACTGTAGACATCAGAGGGGTTAGTAGATCACGTGCCATGGCAGTGAGAACCGGATAATTTTTCGAATGTTCACTCCACCAGGCTAAAATATCAAAATTATTTGATCCTTCACCTAAATTAGAAAAAAATTGCTTGTAAATAAAAATTAAGTTCAGTAAATGAACTTGTTGTAGAACTAGCAGATTTTTGCCTTTTACTTATTAAATAAAAATGTTTTTCTCTTCTACTAGTGGGCTCAAGGCCAAAAGTAGAAGAAGATGATGAACAAGTTGTAGGAATATTTCCTACAACTTCAGATTCATACAAACTGTACATTTCAAATAATAAATTATTAATTTGTTCTTCTTTATTTCCTATATCAATATTCATATTTTCACAATACGATTCAAGTAAAATATCTAAACCATCTTTCCTAATCCTAGGGTCTAATATTGTAGCTAAACAATAAAGGGGAGAAATGTTCTCCCAATATTTTTTAAATTTATTTTCCATAATTCCAACAATACATTGAAATTGTGGATTATTTCTATATTTTGCAAAACAATCACTAATTACCATTAATCAATAAGGTAAATTACAACTAGTTTGATAATAAATTCCAGATAATTCATTAGTTGCACCATAAAAATGTTTTAAAAAATCTCTTATACAGACTGCCATTTCTTAGCCTTCCTCAAATATCATATCATTAGGCATTTTTAAATTATAAAAATAAGAAATAATTTGTTTATGAGATATACAACTTTCTGACATAGCATAGGTATAATTCCACCTATGCTTTACATCTAATATAAAATTTTATATATTTTAAACCATAATTTTGACATAAATATTTAAATTCTTGTTTTCTTGCCCCTGAACGTTTTATATATATAATACAATTTCTAATTTAAGATTGGACATGCGCATCTAATATGAAATAATTTACCATTTAAGCATGTTCTTAATTGAGATTTTAAAATGTTTATTGCAGAATCATTGTTGCTGGCATTATCAAAACTAATCATGCAAAGTATTTAAAATACTTGTAGCAATAGTTGGGCCACTATGTGGCCATTCAAGCCTAGTAAAACTTAAAGTTCTTTTATTCAAAAGCCAATTTTCATAAATGAAATGGCCGGTAACACAATATAACTAATATTAAATTTGGATGTCCAAACATCCGAAGTAATTGCAACTTTAGAATTAAGATTTGCTAACAAAGAAAWTAAATTTTGTTTATATGAGTAAAAAATTTTTAAAGCATTAGTTCTTATAGTATTCCTAGAAACTTTTTTATATTGTGGGTTTACAGAACTACGCAACCATTTTTCTAGCTTTGGATCTCCAACTAATATAAATGGTTGTTCTGCATGTACAATATACTTAGCAAGTTCTTGTCTCATTTTTTCTTGTGAATATTTAAAAGTACCAAAACTATTCCCCCTCCCAATCTGTGTTTGGGTTGTTTCTCTCCCTTCATCTTCTTCTCGCTCATGTGTGAGAAAATGTTGCTCAAATGACCCGTACCACCCTTGCTACAATAAATAAAGTCCTTCCTACATTTTTGGCAAACGGCCCTTTTCCCCTTCCCCTCAATATCCTCTCCTCTACTTTGAAAATTTTCCAAACTGGGCTGCTCAGCTTAGAGGCCTTCCTTTTCCCCCTAGTATCAGTACCAGGGGTGAAAGTTCTACTTCCATCGGCATCAATCGCATCAGTGCTAACACTATCATGATGCGATTGAATATCATCAATGGTGAACATGCTGGGGAATCGATTTTTTGAAGAGTCGACCATTTTTTTTTTAATTCTAAAAAGATAAAAACTAATGTAATTCGACTTACCCAGATTGCTGGTTCAAAATCCCAATTTGATTTCAACAGTTGAAGCCTTTCAACGTCCAAGCCTTCAAAATTGAGATACTTGAGCTGGTTGAGCAAGCCTTCTTCTTGTTGAAAGTCGAAACTTCAATAAATTTGAGAATTGAGAATTGGAGAATGCAGAATCAGACAATCAACTAATCAGATTTACTCAGATTGTAGAGAATTGAGAATGTATGAGTATGAGAGAGAGAGAAGAGACTAGCCGTTGGGCCCCTTTGGGGGGGGCAACGGCTATATTCCGGGCGGGCCGAGTGCGGCCCGCTACGGGCCGTGCCGGCATGCGGTGCCAGCCCATGGGCCTCGAACCCCCGGCCTAGCACGGCATGGACCTCCGTGCCGGGCCTGGCACGGCCCGTGAGCCTTCGTGCGCCCAGCCCGATTTACACCTCTAACCCAGCTAATGCCACATGTTGCTCCCCCTTAGTTGTAACCATCACACTCCGCCTACTTTCCTCAGGCTGAACCAAGGCATACACCTTGAACTGAAGGCAACTCTTTACTCCCTAAAATCTGAACTCTAAAAGGTTCATATACGGGGTTTAGTCCCAACAAAAAAGCAAAAACCCGCTGCTGAGAAACCAACTTCTTATAGGCTTTAGCATCATTATCATGTTGCCATTTTATAGCTTGATAGTGGTTCGACTCCTTCCATATTGAAGTAAGGGCTGAATGATAGGCTGACAAACTACGGTTCCCCTGTTTACAGGTTGAGGATTCTGCTTGTATTTGGTAAATCTTGCATAGTGCCTTTGCTCAGAATAGGTGGTTTTGTCTTGTTCCCGTATTTCACTAGCAGTGTCTGCCCACATAAAGTTCTTCTTCACATCAGGTTCCATGGCTGCAAGAAGCCAGGACATAACCATACTGTTCTCTTGGTCCCACCTATCACATTCAGCTGTCCTATTCTTGGGTTCTTTCACTCTTCCATTTATGTACCTAGCTTTTCCCCTTGCTGTTACGTAAAGTTTTACACCTTTAGCCCACCCTAGGTAGTTTAGGCCATTTAAAGGGTTAATCGGCATAAGAAATATCATATTATCAGCTCCCATACCAACCGTACTACAGGTTGATGTAACCCCAAATGAGGCAGAATCATCATTTGCCATTGACAGAAACAAAGGCTACAAGACAAAACTCAAACCACAGGTGCACAAGACTAGTCCCCACTCAACTATTACCTCTCACAGTCACAATTAGGGCACTAAACACCAAGAAATTTGCTTCTGAAATAGAGAACTCACTGCTGAAGTCCAATGGCAGCAACTAAACAGTTCAAAAAACAGTCGAGAAATAACAAACCAC